GTCTGAATAGCAATTTAAATGGTTGGGCCAAACAAAGTTTATCACAAATTATCTATTGTTTACATACAAGTAGTTTCTCATGCATTACAAACTCGGCCAACAAGTAAGCGAAAGCTGAAGAGAGAGAGAGAGAGAGAGAGAGAGAGAGACTCATTGAAAGGCCCGTCCGTCCAATACAAGCGCTGTTACCACCGGTTGGGGACGGAAGCAGACAAACGAGCAAAACTTGAATCCAAACTATAGTTTTGTTAACAATCAATGAAATAGGAGTTCAGTTGTGTTCACATCTCTGTAGTGGGTCTTAGACTTTACAACCGCTTTACAAACTTCTCTCTCATCTCTCTCTGTGTATAGAATTAATTCAATTTTGCAAACTATTGTTTTTCACCAACAGTTCAATAGTTTTTTGTTTTAAATTAAGTTTTGGTTTTTGTTTTAATCAAAATATAATTGACGTTCAATTGAATTACAAAAGCAATTCTACTGTTGTTTCTATTTACACCTTTGGCTAAAACTGGATTTAAAGGTAAAGTCATTTACATTTTCAATGATATTTATTAAGACATCATTTGTCAGTAATGAGTGTCTAATTTATTCACATACCACATACCAATATTATTTTTATATCAATACTTATATTGTATGCAAAAATTTTGTTTTAATATGCGGGTAAACTTATTTAATAATATTCATTACAAGCAATAAAAAGATTTTTAGTGATGTATTTGTAAAGTAAATAAGTTAAAATATTCTAATATTTTTATTATAAGTTAAAATCAAATAAGTTAATGTAGTACGATCATAATAATTTATTGCAAGTTTCTTAAAATAAACTTTTTAACTATTAATATTTGAACAAATCATTGGAATTAAATACATTTATTATGCAAACAATATTCAGTAAAACGTTTTGTATTATAGAAGATAATAACAATTTGTTGGAAAAATATATGACCAGATTGTTGAGTTTGTATATAACCAGATTATAGTGAATCAAGAAAATGCCAACATTAAACAATAGGAAATTGCAAAAATCAATATAGTTTATATAAAATATTATATAATTTAGTTTTTATAAGAGGACTAATCATAAGTTCGTGGGTGTAATTGTTGCACGAATTTATGTTTAAGATCCTTGGGGTTATGTAGCAATATATAAGATTACATTGTATTATATAAATAATAATATAGTAAAAACTTAAACAAAATAACTTTACGTAAATTAGCGTTAAATAGATTTGAGAAGAAATTAATTTTATTAAAGGGTCACTACTTTTGCATCACACAAAAGATTGCAGTATTATTGACACAAACGCATGAATCGCTTCTGACTTTTGTATTAAATATACAAAAACAATGGGATATCTTCTAAATCAGATAACTTCTCAAACTTTCAATCAGAGTTTGAGTTGAAAACATTTTGGATAATAAAATTGTTGCGAAACTGATATTTATATGTACAGTATATACCGTATTGTCGTAATCCGAGTTGAAATGCATTAACAGAATAACAAACAGTATTGAAATAATGATATTTGAAAATATGAAGAGTTGGATCGTTTGGGTATATTCTTGCAAATCAATTACCAGTTGTTCACTACTTGTGCCAAACAAAGCACATCACTATTAGTCCATCAGTTGAGGCGTGAAGTCTGCGTTCGGATGCGTTCACCGAAAAAAAGAGCAAAATTTCTCCGCAAAAAATGAAACTTTATTTTTAAACCTTAAGTCGAGACCAAAGAAAATTCAATTGTAATTATAATCGTATCTATTTTCTGTTCAATTTTGTTTGCCATCAGTTTTAAGAGCTTATTGTCTAATAATAAGTTAGCTTTTATTTTGAGTTTCCAATGAAAACACAAATTTATGAAAATTTGCAAAATAAGGAAATCATTTGTTAAGTCTTTGGGAATAATTAATTTACTGCATTATAAGTATTGCAAATTTAAATTCAAATTGTTTTCATTTTGTTTTGAGACAAATACTATGTTTTTTCGTTTTAAAGAATATTTTTAATTAAAAAAGTTTGAGACTTAAAATTCTAGTCGAGTTTAAAAACCATTTCATACAAAAAATCTTATCGCAAATATTTTTCATTAGTATCAAATATTTATTCTTATATAATGTTGTGCTAGTAATACATTTATTCATAAAGTTTTTATTTGTGTACACGTTTATTATAAATATACTGTGCTATTATTGTATTTTTACTAAATAACAAGAAATTTATTTAATACTTCACAAATAAATTTAAATTAATTGTTTAGTTATTTATTAATATTTTTATTTTATATATTATACTTAAGTGCATTATTTTTTAAAACGTGTTCTTATAAAGCACATTTTTATTTTTTGTTATAACATCGAAATTACATTCAAAAATTGATTTTCATTAGCGAAAAAAACTAAATAAATATTTCATTTACCAATTGATTAAACCCGTTGAATACGAATTGAATAAAATTTCAATGAGTTCTCACCAAAAACTATTTGTGTGAATATGATTTTAATCGAGTTGTTTGTAAGCAAAATAAATGCATACATAAAATGTTTGAATCAGTTCATCCCGAGTCTCTCAAAAGTCTTGAGAATATTTCTCATTTATAATTAATATATGAACCGAAAGCCCGAAGGTATCGTCAATTCTGTAATCAAATGACATTTTGGATGTGTTTAATGTCTTTGACAGTTTTTGTGTGTTCACAACCATTCATTATCACGATTAATGAAAGTCTAGTTTATTCATTCATTTATTGACAAATAAATATCTGATTTGAACACAAGTTTAGTGGGAAATGGCTTATAGTTGTTTGTCCCACACGTCTATTTTATTAGTTCCCTCGTTATCACAAAAGTAGTTATTTATTTAATTATATAATTTAATATCCAATTATGATAAAAACAAAATGGATTTTTAAATATTTAGATAATATTTAGAAATCATATCATTTGGAATTAGCAATTTCAAATTATTTATATACAATAAACGTATACGATATACGTAAAAAATAATAAAATTGTAAAATTTAGTATGTTAAATTATAAAACAAGTTACTGATAATGCTATTGCATTACATAATATTTATAATATGATTAAATCATTCACAGACAGGCGTTAGAGCTTGGTCAACTTATTAATAATGTGAGTTATACTTTCATATAAACTTATGGAGAATAGCACCTGAATGAATTTTTAAATAAAACTAATAACGCCTGTCTGAATAATTTAGTAATATATTATTGATAAATGATTTTATTGTGAACGTTTGTAATAATTATGTAATAATTAGATAAACTTTATAAGTAATAATCTTTTCTATTGTGTAATAAAATCTCTAATTATCGGATCTTTAGATAATACCTCAATATTTAAATTTTTCATTAATAACTGAATAAGAGTTTAGACAAGTATTCAGTTTTATTTATACGAATATAATAGTTGAGGAAAAGAGCCCTGAGGTTAGTGTCAGCCATGAATAGACCTATCAAATGATGATCTGATCGCTAATCAAAGAATTTCAATATTAGCCAAACATTGAGAACAGAGACGAATGAAACGGCAAAATAAGTGAACTTTTTAGTGAAGTTTGTTGTCTGAATGGTAGGCCTATGGAGAGGTTAGCGAACCGTACTCTTAGGGCAACCATACCTTCAGTGCGCTATTGAGCTTTCAGTTCACTTCAATTGCCTTCTTTACAACTTTCGCTTCAATATCCCATTATTATTGTGGTTTGGATTGTAGAGAGACCTATAGATTCAAAATTCACTCACTTTTAAACATTCCTTAACTATTGAGAGCTAGTGTTTGCAAACGAAACACGCAATCATTGAAATCATTGCTCTAATGATCATTCATACAGAAGATATAAATTACTTACTTCTCCATCATTTTAGGTGTTCCTCATGATCTCACCATTTCTTATAAACACATTTATCTTTTAAAGTATAGTTTTTAATACACATTGACAGCCACTCCAATTGTATACAATTAAAGAATTATCTGTTTTTTATTAAAATGCATTTTATTTCACTCAGAAATAAGTCATTTTTAATATAATCTTTAGTGTTATTTCCGATTATATACCGCATAATCGTAACCTCTTTTTGAGTGATTTGTGACAAACTTGTTATAATTTAATTAAATGTTCAGAAACAATAATAATTATCTTTGTCTGGCACTCCAATTAACTTAATTTCATATAAATCTCTGCAGAAGTAATCCATACGAAAGTGGTCTCAAATTATTATCATTTCATCTGACAATGCGGTCGTTGGCCTTATTCAAGCAAAAATGGGTTTAGAAAGTGTCAGGATAAATGATAAATACGAGACATATAACGACCCGTCGGTCGACCACTACTCGAGTCAACACCATCTGAACCGACGACGAAAAGTGAATCCGTTGTCGACGACGACTGCAAATACATTGAATTCTCATCACTATTACTGCGGTTCACATATCACTGCCTCTAACCTGTCCAACGGTAACGACTTCCCCAACGCTTCTAATTATAGCTACTTATGGAAAGTCTGCAAAGAAAGGGGTGTTTTGTTTGAAGGTATTTTTCATGAGAGAGAATTTATGTGGAAAATGTCATAATTTCGTACAAATTGTTTGCAAAGATCCGTATTTCGCTGCGAGTAATAAAGCATTGTTTGGCAAAAAAGAGTCCTCCAATTCACACAAAATATTCTCATCAGTCGTATGGATGCGTCCCTTTCAACTGGTCTCCCGACCCAAGTATATCACTGAATACAATCCCAATCGGCGTTTCGATGTCGAGTTTGGCGATGGGTCGGCCCTATTGTCCAGCAATCAGCCCCTATTCCACGCGACAAGCATTTTATATTCAGTGCCTAAGCTTTTTGACCGCGTTATCAATCCGTTGCAAAACCTTAATCCAAATAATTATGCCGGCATTTGGAAGTTTCGGTTCTGGAAGTTTGGACAATGGATTGATATTGTCATCGGTTTGTCCATGTTTATTATAATTAATAAATGTTCATGCAAAAAAAACAGAATAATTAACTTTCTAATACATCAAAATAACTATTGTAATTTCCAAAAATTAGCATATTTTAAACACTTTATTTTGCTGTTTTAAATAATTGTGATCATAATTATGTATCTCATGACAGATGACCGACTGCCCACATATAAGGGTAGACTCTTGTTTATGCAGTGTTTAGATGGGTCTGAGTTCTGGGCCGCGCTCTTAGAGAAAGCTTACGCTAAACTATACGGTAGTTATGATTATTATCTCAAGTAAGGCATACATCGCATGCATTACATAAAAAACTTGGATTAATTAAAACACTGTTATCTCAGGCATTGTTTTACTGCCCAAACAACCCAAGACTTGACGGGTGGCATCGCACAGGTACTATCAAATGTACAATAATTGGTGTAACAAAACTAAGTTAATATATTAATTGGACAAAACATAGAGCTTCACAATAGCGAGCCATGAGAGGCATATCATACACCAAATGATCGCATCGGCAGTTCCGCGTTCAACACTACTGTCCGTTTGCATCAACACGAGTGACGCCAACTCTCCTAATAAATCATATCGACTCAGGAATGGGTTGTTTACTCAACAGTCATATATCATCACCGGATTAACTCGCGTCCGAACGCTGGCCTTCGATGACATCCAAATGGTGGCCAATACTAGCAATTATATGTCAAACCATTACCCCATTCATAGCAATCATCTCTTCACACAACACAATGCCGTCGATTCCATACGTAATGATGTGATTGAAGTGCTTTTGGTTAGACTGAGGAATGTGTGCTGCAAAGGGGAGTGGAATGGAGGTATGTGTCCATCACTGAACCATTGTAATTAAATACTTTCTTAGTGCTCATTAATTTTTATATACTATATATAATAATATATATGAGTTTTAAACAACCAGAGTAACGTTAGCTATTAATACTGATAAATTATCAGTGATAATTATAACGTTACTCTTTTACTTTAAACATATGAATATTGTATGAATAATTGACTTTTGAGTACAATTATTATTTAGATATAAAAATAGCTAACTTTACTCTGGTTGTCTAAAACTCATATTATATATTTTTCATAACTATAATGATAAATACTTTATAAATACACTAGATGTTAGAGTTAGTTTCTAAAAGTTGTCAACTATGGATTAGTTTCTGATAGAACTTTTGAAATTGTTTTTTAAACGATATTAACTGTGATAAAGTTATCTAAAACAATAAAATCCTTAATGTCCTATTTGAAGTTTACTAAATAAATAAAGTGGAAACAGTAGTTAGCACACTACTATACAGTATATCTAGCTAGCAGCGAGTTTGAGTTATTAGTGAAGTTATTATTATTAATCTTTAAATTATTTTATAATTCTCAGTGCTAATACTCTTATTGGTAAAAGTTATATTCATGTATAAGAATGCAGTCAAAAAATTAATTAATTTTGTTTTTCATAAACTGCTAAAAGCCTGGAGTGAGAGGTCTCTAGAATGGGATCATCTGAGCGAAAGAGACAGAGAAGAGTTGACTATAAGGTGCAGAACTGATGGGGAATTTTGGATCTCTTTTGATGACTTACTCAACAACTTTACAAATCTGGATCTCATTCATATCGGACCCGACGATTGGATGCAGGTTTGCCACTATAATACAATTCATGTGTAATAAACATAATACAGTATTGAAAAGTATGATTAATATCTTATAGGAAATATCACTCCATCACAAAAGACCCTGGTATGTGTATCAGGGATAAAAAAAAGTATATCCGACAAAATATATCAATATATTATGATTTACAGGAGGGCTGTATTGGCGCGAAGGAAATGGAAGAAGGGGTTCAACGCAGGGGGCAGTCCATCACATAAGGAGACTTTCCACACAAACCCACAATTTCATGTCCACATCCCTAAGAGTGGACCAAATAAACTCCATGTCGTCGTTTCTGTCACACAATTATATGAGACAAACACCGAATTACAAGACTATTCGTTACAGAGTATAGGCTTTTGTGTGTTTGAAGTGCCGCCCAATACTATACGCTTGAGTCATGCATTCGTCTCAAATAACGCTCCGTTAGATATCACAGACTTCACCACAACTCGCGAGTCGGTCACTTTCTTTACATTACCTGCCGGTGACTTCATTATAGTGCCCTCCACTGATAAACCCAACCAAGAGACCAAGTTCCTTTTGAGACTATTCACTGATGAATCCACTAATATATGGGAAGTCAATGATGACAACATCATTTTTGCCTTGGATTCGCAGATACCTAAAATTGTTGAAAGTATAGCTCAGGTATACAATTATATAACAATTATTTCTGTAAATATTAATTTTTATAAAATTTATGGTCAATACAGAACGGAAGTAGTCTTATGTCAAGACTTATGTCTAAACTTCCTCCAGAAGTAGATCCTTATATTCTACATAAAGTCCTAAAAATTTACTGCAAACGTAAGTCTAATAATAAAATGATATCTTAAAATGATGTATGAATGAATAAATGAAATGATTTCATTTTGATAGCTTTTAATATATTATACGAAAAGCCAAGTCTGGAGTTATGTCGCTATTTAGTGATGTTAAGAGATCCGGCCATTACGGGCAGAATATCAGCTAAAAGTGTGACCACTATTCTCAACATTTTGCACTTCTGGCGCTCAATATTCACGAGATATCAAATCGGAAATAAAAATAAAATCTGTTGTTATAGTCTTCGCAATCTATTATACGAATCGGGTTTGTGTTCATTACTTGTTATCAGTTTTTATTATATCTATCATTTAATCGCATAATAAACTAATTTAGTTTTGTTTTTAAGTTTATACTGTGGATACATCTAGATTTAGTAGTGATACTTACAAGTTAGATTAGTAAATAAATTGTTGGTTTATCTGTTTAATTATTGTAATTATTATAGTTGTGGTTAGTTTTATGAATAAGAAACAAATAAAAATGTGTAATAAATAATTCAAATCTCATACAATAACTAAAGCCATGAATTAAGATACAGAAAACCTTTAATTAACTCACAATAAGTTTCTCATAGAAACTCCAATAATATATAATTAAAGGAAATCTGTTAAATATGCAGTACTATTACTGACACTATGATGTAATGTTAAGTTTTATGAATATTAACGGCTGAGAAATAGTGATAAAATTATAAGCCTTCCCTTCACACCAGGAATATCGGTGTCAAACAAAGTGTTGGAAAGTCTGTTGATTCGCTACTCAGACAACTCAACGCACTTGACGTTGGAGTCATTCATTCAATCTCTGGTCAAATTGCATCTCTCACACGGTCTGCACTTTTATGACACCCATTATATAGGATAACAAATCAATTAATTTAATCATTTTATGGCTATCCAAACGTCTTTTCATTTGATTTCTATTTTAAATAACACTTTTATTTCATTTGAACAGAACGTTACAAATCATTGGAAAGGAAAGGAAAACATAATACCATTACTTTAGAAGAGGTTTAGATATAACTTATTTGAGTTGAAACTAATAAAGCATTCATTGATTCATTTGTTTCTATTTCAGATGATCCTATCGACGGTCTACTCATAAAACTAATAAAATTTATATACAAATCGTTTATTTATTATTTAATGTTTAATTTAAAACCTTTTATTAATTAATATAAGAAATAAATAAATAAAATTGTTATAAACCTTATTGAGAAAAATAAATACTGATTAAGTTAGAGGACAAAGACATTGGACCTATTCATCAACAAAACCCTTAATTTAATTCATTTATTATTTAATTCTTTGTTTAAAATGTTTGAGAAATAAGTACTAAATTTGACACAAAAATGGATTTTTATTTTACACTAATATTTAAAAATGACACAAATTGTGACTGTAAGCCCGCACTCCTGCGCCAGATATTCATTCGGTACGGCCCACTGGACTACGTGAATGTGGTCCCCCAGTCGTACTGCGCTTTCGTCAACTACCACAACCACCAGAGCCCGAGAGTAGCCATCGCCGCACTCTATGGCCAGACAGTGACCGGCGTTTCCAACGGTTTCCGACCCCTTGTGTTCCGAT